TGCTGTTTGATCTGTTCAACTGTGAGTCAATGAAACATGTTTTATTCTTTCTCTTACCAAGGACTCAGAGTCAATTATTGAGACTGTAAGTGCCCGTTGAGGAGACGCAAATGGGGTGGTTTACCCTAGGGAGCCGTGAAGAAAATTCTGCTCTGTAAGTCCCTGTACTTCTGCTACGATTAAGCAGCCGATGCAATTTTTAAACCAGAAATTCAAAATTCTGTAACAAAATGTCGTCATAGCGGGGCATGGGCATTTACTCTAAAATGAAACTTAATCCTCCAACATCTGTGTGTCTGGAACTCTTTGGAAAGGTGCACAGCTCATAGCCGTTTTCACCAACCAGGAGCCCAGCCAGAATGGCTGAGAGTTGGGCACGATGGGCGATGTAGTCCACAACACCTAGAGGCTTACCTGGTGGCAGAAAGAGGCCTGGAACCTCCTTCTGGGGAAGCTTGGAGGCCCCTCGGCAGCGTCTGGTTTCGGTTTCAGTTCTGTTCTTCGTTTTTAACAGAAGAAATTCTTTTCCCCCCCCAGCTTCATTTTCTACATTCCACCGGGAACTCCAAAGCCCATCTGCCAGCTATGAAAACAGGGTCGTGCATTCAAGGCGTGGACCCTTTCTTTCTCTGCTGAACTCCGTGTTCACTTTGGTCCATCATGTCTTAGGGAGACAAGACGAGGTGTGGGGGGCCCCCACCAATGGATGGAGGCCCTTCCTTGGTACCTCTGTCCCCTATTTCTCTCTCTCTCTCTGTCCCACCCCCTTTCTTGATCCTCTCCAACTTCCGTGATCACCCAGTGATGCTCTGTCCCCCCTAGACGTGTGCCCTCCACGCCGTGCCCCCCCCATAACATATCCCCTCTCCTTCTTAGTCCCCTTCTCCGAACCAGGTTATGCCGTAAACTCTGATTGAAATGGATGCCGTTTCTTCCAAGAACAGCAAGGGGGAAAAGCCTCAACAGGGCAGAAAACACAAAAGCTTTTATTTTCTGGGTCCATGAAGGTCGTCTAAGAAGGGATCACAGCTGGCAAACTAGCAACTCTTCAAGCTCAGCAACTACGACGACCGACAGACCACACCGGTCACCGCGTCTTTCCCTTCTGCGCCGTCCTGCACCCGGTGATTCTCAGCCGTTCCTTTGAGCTCCTTCAGGTGTAAAGAGGCCTGATCCGGACTGGAGCTTTGGTCGTGGCTGGTTTTACTTTTTTCGAGGAGCTCCGGATTCCTAGATGGGGACACAAAAAACACACACAGAGCTTTCCGTAAAATGTCCGCAGGCTCCTGTTCTACATCTACAGATTCGAGGTTGGCCAGCGTGGCTGAAATTTATTTATTTATTTAACCTTGAGGCAATTTTCCTCTAAAAGTGATGCCCTTTCTTATTTAAGGCCAGCTGAAATGAGAAAGAGGATTGGGGCCACGAACTACGGTTTTGTTTAAAAACAGAGTACAGTGGTGCCTCGCTTAACGATTACCTCGTTAAACGATGAGACCGCTTGACGATGAGGTTTTTTGTGATCGCTTTTGCGATCGCAAAATGATGTTCTAATAGGAAAAATTCGCTTCACGATGATCGGTTCCCTGCTTTGGGAACCTATTTTTCGCTAGATGATGATTTTAAAACAGCTGTGCAAAATGGCTTCCCACAGTGCTTTAGGATGGATTCCTCACTATACAGGCACCAGAAAGTGGCTGCCCTATGGAGGATCTTCGCTTTATGATGAGGTATTTAGCCCATTGGAATGCATTGAACCGGTTTTCAATGCATTTCAATGGACTTTTTCGTTTCACTTGACGAGGATTTCGCTTAACAGCGATTTGAACGGAACAAATTATCCTCATCAAGCGAGGCACCACTGTATGTCTCACCAAGTTGGGGAAGAATTACCAGTTTTCTTCCTTTCTTTTCTCTCCTTTCCAGCAGCTGCTATTATAATATTTATTCATAGTAGTTTATTCACTATTTATTAGCCCAATTAAACCCCACTTCTCTCTCCAAGCCAGGTTTTCTTTTCCCCATCGTGTCCTCACAACAACCTGTGAGGTAGGTCAACCTGAGACATAACTGTAACAGGTCCAGGGAGTTTCATGGCTATCCGGAACCCAAATCAACTACCTTTCCCATAACACTGCACACATTCCTCTGGGGTCTCCATGTAAGCCACAGAAAAACCCGAACTCAGAGCAGGCTTATGAAGCGGACTTTCTTCAGGTATGATAAGCCCTTACCTTGGGATCTGACGTAAAACTGACCCGTCCTCTCAGGAGCAGAAGAAACAAACTAGGATCAAATGGTGGTTAAGGTCTGACTCTAGGAGGTGGTGCTCATTCCTGTTTCCAAGCCGTAGAGCCAGCGTTTGTCCGAAGACAGTTTCCGTGGTCACGTGGCCAGCGTGATTAGACACGGAACACCGTGACCTTCCCACCAAGGTGGTCCCTATTTATCTACTCGCATTTTGCATGCTTTCAAACCGCTAGGTTGGCAGGAACTGGGACAAGTGACGGGCACTCACTCCGTCGTGTGGATTCGATCTTACGACAGCAGGTCTTCTGACCCTGCAGCCCAGAAGCTTCTGCAGGTAATCCAGATGTTCAGTGGACTGGAATTCCCAGAAGCCTCCACCAACAGCTGTGCTACCCAGGGGTTTCTGGGTGATGCAGTAAAGGAGCGCCTGGGTTACCTAAGGCTGGGGCACCACAGCGCTCGCATGTAACTTTTCATACTGTGGATTAATGAGCCTGCGCGGGATATCGTGCGAAAGCAATCAAGATGAAGATCAATGGGAAACCACCACCCCGTTGCCTGTTGCTAAAGAATACGTCAGATTTCCAAGACGGCTTTAGCGAAGAACTCAAGAAAAGGTAGTTCCGCGTAAAAGTAACGCCACCTCTAGGTCTCTTGATGGCTGCTAGTTAATTATTCTTCTCCTGCAAATTTGCAGAGATAACCCTGGCCCGCTTCAGACTTTACTTTTGTACCGAATTGCTAAAGCCACAGGAAGAAGATAAGATTGTCGCATTCACGCCTTCCGCCAAGGGGCTTTGGAAATTTTGGTGAATCCAAACATGTTTATTTCTCTTCTAACCCCCAAACCTCTGCTACCCTTTTCTCCTACAAAATTTCGTCCAAAGAAGAAGTTTTAACGGAAGCTGAGAAATCTTGGCTTATGCCTGGCATTTCAACGAGAAAAGGATTGGCTTATGTCTAAACCTTGAAACATTTGGAGAAACAGGAGCTAGAAATAGCTAGTGACCAACTAGTTACTTGCACTTAACTGTTTTTCCACGTCTTCAATCGTATCAGGAAGTGGCACATTTAAGGTTTCTGGGAGGAAGCAAGCGGCAATGCCAGAAACGATTGGGGCTGCCCCATAGACGAGAAGCGGGAGGGCTGGGGAGTACTCGGTAGTCATCCTCACCAAGGGAGCTACAATGCCTCCGATCCGTGCCATCGTGTTGCCGAAGCCCATCCCGGTCTGCCTGTGATGCAACAGACGGGAAAAGTTGATCAAAAGGAAAACAGGGTCCAAAAAATCAGTTCCAAAAAACAACCCCGCACCCGCGGATACCGAAAAATGCGGATAATTTGAACACTATACATGGCATGGTCTCTGGATCCCTCTAGTGGTCTGTTCTGGTAATGACACATCTCACAGGCAGTTCTGATAACTTCATCTTGAGAAACATATGTTTCTAGGATTTTTTAAAAATATTCTAAATATTTTCAGACCGCGGATAAATGAATCCGCGGTTATAGATGCCACGGATAAGGGAGTCCTACGGTATATGCATACAACAATGTGTAGGGTGTTGTTGTTATGTTCGGTCCAGTCACCTCCAAATCAGGGTGACCTTTTGAATGAGGGCCCCCCAATGTTTGTATCCTTGTGTGCCTTTAGTAGGTGTGCCTGAAAGGATGGGGTGACTGTCAATCACTAACAGCACCAACCAATCGTTTCTTCTCTGCTCCCTATTTCAAAAAGAGACCCGCCCCCCTATTTACAGCTTTCCCCTCTCTTGAGTCTGCCGAAAGCTTGTGGCTGAAGGCAGAGTCTATTGTTCGTTGTGTTTTATCTGTTCCGAACGCCAAGTCAAGAACACCGTTTTATGCTTTCTGCCGCTAATGTCTACCTCCAATGTCTCAGAGTGAGTTGTTGAGACTGTAAGTGCCAGCTGAATAAGTAAAGTAGTGGACCAATCTGGGGGACTTGAAGCTATTCTGGTTTGTGAATCCCTGAACTTCTGCACAGCTAGAGGATTTTATAAACCCAAATTCAAAGCTCTGCAACAAAGCAAACACCGGCTGATTAATGTTAACCTCTGCTTCTATTTCAATTTCTGGATTCATGTCATTAAAAAAGAAGAGATGCCGTATTTTTCCATGTATAAGATGCTCCCATGCATAGCCCATCCCGGTCTGCCTGTGATGCAACAGATGGGAAAAGTTGATCAAAAGGAAAAGAGGGTCCAAAAAAAAATCAGTTCCAAAAAACAACCCCGCACCCGCGGATACCGAAAAATGTGTATGATTTGAACACTATACATGGCAGGATCGCTTTGATCCCTGCTCTTTCCCTTTATGCTAAAAGCGCTGCAGGATGACTTTGATCCCTGCTCTCTCGCTTCATGCTAAGCCCCGCAGGGATTAGCAAAAGGAGGGGGAAAGGGATCAACGCAATCCTGCAACTGCACGATCTTTTTGATCCCTTTCCCCCTTATACAGCCATGAGATTACTTTGATTCTTTCCCCCCTCCTTTTGCTAAGCCCCATGGGACTTAGCAAGTAGAGGGGAAAGCAGGGATCAAAGCCCTGCAGGATCGCTTTGATCCCTGCTTTCCCCTCCACTTGTTTTTCTACTCTCCCCAGCTTACTTCCGTGTAAAAGACAGAAAAATATGATATAAACAAGTGGAACACAGCTTGCTTTCTTAGCTTTTGCATGAGTTGCCTAGCAGTTGCCCAGGGCTGAGGATGGGGAGGGCCTTACCCTAGCATAGTAGGTGAGCCATTAGAAGGTGGCAAGACCAATGGCGGAGATGCTGACCATCATCCCCTGGGGACTGGCAGGGCCAAAACTGAGCCATTTGTCCCGGGCTGAATCTGGAGTACCGTTCCACATCTGGATTTGAGGCATGGCCCATGAAAACCCTTGCCAGGGACTTTGAACAGCTGGATGTCTGAGTGGTGGAGGCCTCTGGCTAGAGGTTCGAATCCCCCAATGGGCCTCCTTGACAGGGGGATGGACTGGATGATCTGTAGGGTCCCTTCTAGCTCGGCTGTTTGTTTGTTGGCTTGTTGATTTTCCCAGAATCCAACTGAGAAGGTGAAATGGCAAGCGGAACAAGGCTTCGAGTAAGATCAAGGCGGAGAGCTACCTGATCACAGTCGGGTAAAGTTCTCCGGTGTACAAGAAGACACAGTTGAAGGAAGCGCCCAAACATCCTTTCCCGAAGACAGCAAACACAGTCCGAAGGACGTGCATATCTGTAGAAAAGACAAGCTGTACACAAACAGACTTCCAAACGCTTCTTGCCTCCTGCAATTAAAATCTGCAGCAACCTGGGGCTTCCCCCTCTTATCCGACTGGATGCTCCAGTGTGCCTCTTTGATAAATTTCTTCCCCCCCTCCCCTTGGGGTACAAAAATTGGTCCTTCTTTTCCAAATCAAAGCTTCACCGTTTTCAATATTCAGTGGCCAACCATCTCCCTTTCAAAAAAAAAGGGCAATGTCAGAATGTTTGTGAACATTCCATAGCTTCACCTGTCTGTCAACTGAGAGCAGAAGTTGTGATGGACTGCTGATGGGGAGGGGTGAAATCAGCTGACTGGGTGTTTCTGGGTGTTGTACTGAAAAAGGAACTTCTCTGCTAAGACTTGGAGGGGGGTCTAGGTCACTTTCCCAAGGTGTGTCCTCCCCTTCTCCGATTCCCCCCCCCAAATAAACCCTCACCTTGAGGTACGAAGATGTTGCCAATGATGGACAGTCCCGCCAGGATAAGGCTCAGGGCCTGGGTGAGCCGGCGACCCAAATAGGAAATGATCAAGAAGGCAATGAGTTTTGCTGGGATGTCGACCGCTCCGAAGATCACTTGAATGAGGTAAATGCTGACCCCAAAGTTTTGCAGGTCCATCGCCAACCCATAATAAGCGAAGCTGGTGGAGAACCTGGAGATGAGTATGAATTAAATAAGCATCTGCTCAGAATAAATGCAATCAATTTTGAGAAGGGGTTTTTCAAAAAAGTACAGTGGTGCCCCGCATAGCGACGATAATCCGTGAAGCAAAACTCGCTGCAAAGTGATTTCGTCGCTATGCAAAAATAAAAAGCCCATAGGAATGCATTAAAGCCCATTTAATGCGTTCCTATGGGCTTCAGACTCACCTTAAAGTGAAAATCCTCCGTATGGTGGCCATTTTCGCTGCTCGGTAAGTGAGGAATCCGGGCGAAAACACAGCGGGCGGCCATTTTTTTACCTGGCGGCCATTTTGGAACCGCCGATCAGCTGTTGGAAAATCATCACTATACGATAATCGGTAAGCAAAACAGCAAACCGATCGTCGCAAAGCGATTTTTTCCCATTAAAAACATCGCAATGCGATCACTTTTGCGATCGCAAAATCTTCATCGCTATGCAGATTCGTCGTTAAACGGGGAGCCCGTTAAGCGAGGCACCACTGTAATTAGTTACTGTTACAATTACAAGGCTCAGAAGAGTCATCCTCTCTATTATGGTGACAGCTTGATAGAAGTTACTTTTTACTATCCGATTTTGTTGAAGGGCGCTCTTTCTCCTTCGTCCACCTGATTAGTCACCTCTTGGCATTTTCACCCGAATCCGTAGGACATAAGGCGTGTTTCGGTACATTCAGTGACAAAATCTCGCGATTTAAGTCTTTTTGGGAAGTTTGAATGTGAATCCCTGTTAAACCTCAAGATCATGAGTGAATTGTTGCAGATTTTTCTATTTCTAGTGAAATTCTCTTTTATGGTCCAGTAGAAGTACAGAGGCTCACAGAGGAGAATAGCTTCGAGTTCCCCAGATAGTTCACTCCCTCTCATCCACTTGCGCTTACAGTTTCAATCACTCACTCTGAGACATGAGGAGCAGAAAGAATAAAAACGTCCCATTACTTACAGTTGTCGACAGATCAACAGCAAACAACTGTAACAGGTGAAACAACAGAGAGATTGAACAGATAAGGGGATAAAATTGGCCCCTTGTACGGCGCTTTTGCCTATAGGAAACCATTCTATTTTGCAATGAGCAGGTGATAATTTCTGCCCTGAGTTAGTGGAACAATGGCTTGAGGGGCTACTAGACTACCTCTAGTAGCCCCGGTCTGTGCCTGTCTGTGCTATAATGGCTGCTAGCCATCTCTGAGCCTCTCCCTATACAATAGGACCTCTATATCCACGGGTTCAGTATCCACTGATTCCCCTATTCACAATATGAAAATATTGAAAATCTTAAAAGAAAAATCCTAGGGGAAACACACACACACACACACACAGAGAGAGAGAGAGAGAGAGAGAGAGAGAGAGAGAGGTGAATTTATCAGAACTGGACACTAGAGGGAGCCAGATATCATGTTTCGTGTAGCCTACCTACACAACAGAAATCTATGTCCACGATGTCATTCCCAGAACTGGCCGCTAGAGGGAGCCAGATATGTTTCGTGTAGCCTACTACACAACAGAAATCTATGTCTACAACGTCATTCCCAGAACCGGCCGCTAGAGGGAGCCAGAGACCACGTGTGTATAATGTTCGCTATTAAAATAGCGCTTGCGACAATCGAACTGGCCGCTAGAGGGAGCCAGAGACCACGCTGTGTATAATATTCGCTATTAAATAGCGCTTGCGTATTTTTCAGCGTTGATGGGGGAGCTCGGAATGAATCCCCCCCACAGATCTAAGGGCCCTCCTGCATTGAACGAACAAACCCAAAATTTGAAAAAAACTCTGAATTCCACCCCGACTTACCATACGAAACAAAGACAGCCCGTGATGTGGCGCAGCATTGGTGTGCCCACAAGGTCAGCTACGGAGGATCTAGAGTCGGCAGAAGGCATCTCCTTCTGTAAACTGGCTTTCAAAACCTGCAAGAGCAGACAAATAAGAGGTTCCTTCTTCCTTAGTTGCCAAATTTTCTAAGTGAAACCCTTCCCTCCATCCTTGGACAGCAACCAGAAGAAGATGACAGGACTGTATTTGAATCCATGTAGACGGTTGTGGTGATGGAGGAGGCTCTTGAGGGTCCCCTGGATTGCAAGGAGAACAAACCGATCCGTTCTAAAGGGAATCAACCCTGAGTGCTCCCTGGAAGGACAGATCCTGAAGCTGAGGCTTCAATACTTTGGCCATCTCATGAGAAGACTCCCTGGAAAAGACCCTGATGTTGGGAAATGTAAAGGCAAGAGGAGAAGGGGATGACAGAGGATGATGAGATGGATGGACAGGGTCACCGAAGCGACCAACATGAATTTGACCCAACTCCGGGAGGCAGTGGAAGACAGGAGGGCCTGGCGTCACATTTGCATGCTTTTCGAACGGCTAGGTTGGCAGGAGCCGGGACAAGCAACAGGAGCTTCCTCCACCGCATGGATTCGATCTTACGACGGCTGGTCTTCCGACCTTGCAGCACAGAGGCTTCTGCGGTTTATCCCGCAGCGCCACCACGTCCCACAGAGGGAACTACCATACTGCAAAAACATATGCAGTATGGCAGTTCTATCTGTCTCCTTGTAGTCCCCTGTACCTTATGCATGTACGCATGCACTGTAAAAACACCCAGAAATATACATTTATACATATTTCCAGAGTACATTTACCAGAACTGGCCACTTGAGAGAGCCAAAGAACATGCCATTTATAGAATTTATTTACAGTGGTGCCCCACATAGCGACGATAATCTGTTCCAGATAAATCGTCGCTATCCGGAAACGTCGCTATGCGGGGGCGGGACCCCATAGGAACGCATTAAATCCTGTTTAATGCGTTCCTATGGGGGAAAACTCACCGCTATGTGAAGATTCCCCATATGGCCGACATTTTCGCCACCTCGGTAAGCGAGGGCAGGGCGTGAATACGCTGTGGGCGGCCATTTTCTTCATCCGGCGGCCATTTTGGAACCGCCAATCAGCTGTTGGGGAAACATCGCAATGCAAAGATTGGTAAGCGAAACGCTTACCGATCATCGCAATGCGATTTTTGCCCATTCAAAACATCGCAATGGAATTGCTTTTGCGATCACTAAATCCGCATCGCTATGCGGATTCATCGTTAAACAGGGCGCTCGCTATGCGAGGCACCACTGTATAGAGAAATGCGCCACCCCGACGGGTTACCTCTAAGCTAAGCTTCTCTCCTCGTTCCTTTTGTCGGTTGATCCGTGCGACTTTTTGCAGCTCCTCGAGGGCTCGGTCGAGCTTGCCGGCCGTGGCGTACCACCGGGCCGACTCTGCGAACCACCTGCGGAAAGGAGGAGGGAAGGGGGCTCTGTAGAAGCCGGGCAAATCATAGTTTGTTTGCTCTTCTGCTGTCTTGAAGAAGCCCTCATCTCGTGGTTACCCTCCCTCCTTCCTGTACCCCCCACAAGACTCGCTGCCCAGCCTCCTGATGATTTAAGATCTCCCTCTATCTTCGTCCCTGCTCAGATTCTGTTGCTTTTAATGGCTGCGAGAGAACGGAAGGATACAGGTGAAGCTTCCCACGGGTGTTGTGCTGGGCAAAGCTTTCTCTGTTGAACTGCGGCCTGTCAAAGCAGCTGCAGGAGCCTTGTTGGAGGGAGGAAAGAGGCCACCCAAAAAAAAAGTCCCAGGGGAGGAGAGATGATCAAGAAGGACCCCTTGTGTCCTCCACAGCTGGATTCCAAGAAATCTGGTCTTCTTAGCCACCTTGTCTGGCCCCGGATACATTTTTCAAGCAGAATCATAGAATGGTGAAGTTGGAAGGGGCCTCTTAAGGCCATCCAGTCCAACCCCCTGCTCAAGGCAGGAATCCAAATCCAAGCAGATCGGACAGAGGGTGGTCCCATTTTCTCTTGAATGCCTTCCGTGTCGGAGCCCTCACCACCTCCTGAGGTCATGATGAGTTCCGTTATCATACTGCTCCAACAGCTAAGACGTTTTCCCTGATATCCAGCTGAAATTTGGCTTCCTGCAGCTTGAGCAGCGCATGCGCCAAAGGCCCACCTACCAACTATACAGGAAGAAGGCGAAGTACGGGAAAGATACGGCGAGCTGAAGCCAACGCCAGTCCCGGATGGCATAAGCTATGCCCGCAAGGATGAACTGCCCGAGGCTGTAGCTATAGCCTGTCACCATGCTGACAGTGGCCCGGGAACGCATCGGAGTCCACTCCACTGCTGGAAGAAGAAAACGTTGCACGTTTTGAATTTCTGGTTACATTCCTTTTCCTTGCACAGCAAAAGCCCCGAGACTCACAGAGGGGAATAGCCACAAGTTCCCCAGAGAGTCCACCCCTTTCTCATTAAGCACTGAGACATTGGTAGGAGAAAAAATCGAAACGTTTCATTACTTCTGGTTCCGAACCGATCAACAGCAAACAAACGACGGACTGCACGTGGCAGAGAAGTGTGTCTCTGAATTCAGACACAGAAAGAAAGGACTGGTTACCGCGGGATACACGGACCGTCACCACAGCCCGGAAAGGTGTCTCCCAGTCACACAAACTATAGACGGTATGTGAGGTTGCAAAGACCCTAACAGAAAACTCGAGAGAGTCAAAAAGGAGAGGAGACTGAAGATTACATTCAACAGGGCTGTAACGTGCCCCAGGCACCCCCCAACTTACACAGAGAGACACAATTCAGTCCGATTCCCGAAAGCGCCATTCCGGACAGGAAGCGGAAAATGCAGTAAGCCGCAAAACTGGGCGCAAAAGCCGCGCAGGATCCGGAAACAGCCATCTGGAAGCATGACCAGATGAGCAAGAGTTTCCGGCCGAACCTAAATGGAAGAAAAAAGAAGCAGGTTAGCTGGAATATGTATGTGTGAGTGTGTAAGGCTGTGTGTGTAAAAGAGAGGAGAGGGGAGAGAGCGAAATTCCATCGCGAGGGAACTGGAAGCATGGTGTAAAGCAGGATAATTCAGGTCCAGCCACACCTTAAGAAGAATGTCTAAAAGACCCAATATGAGCCTGTTCAAGGATGAAATCATCCGGAGAGGCCTTTCTCTCCGTCCTGACACCCTCATAGGTACGTTTGGTGGGTACACAGGAGAGGGCCTTCTCTGTGGCTGCTCCCAGACTTTGGAACTCCCTCCCACTGGAGACCAGACATTACTGTCCTTCTACAAGCAGATAAAGACCTTGCTCTTCAGGCAGGCTTTACTTTAAATGATGGTTTGACAAAGGGGAGACAAAGACCTTTCTCTTCAGGCAGACTTTACTTTAAATGATGGGTTGACAAAGGGGATTTTAAAGGGAGTATTTTATTCTGTGTTTTACTTGTGTTTTTAATATTGTTCTTATTTTGAGTTTTAGTATGATATTTTTCATTTTATAAAAAAAAATTAAAAGTGGCATAGCGCTGCATTAGTTGCTCAGCAAGCCAATTTTAAAATGGCATAGCGCTGAATTGGCTTGCTGAGAACCAATTCAGCATGGCATAGCACTGAATTGGCTTGCTGAACACCAATTCAGCGCTAGATTCAAAGGGTGTCAAAGAAGAAAACTTCCTCCGTTTCCCCCTCTGCAGGCGGATGGGAGGAAGCTTTCGATTTCTTAGTAACACTTATATCCTGAAGTGGCTTAAGCAACATGGCAGTGTAAGCCACCTGTGTTTATTCACACGTCCCAGAACCAAACTGGAGCAATCCTTCCAGTACCAAAGCGAGGAAAACTCCCCCCCCAAAAAAAGTCAGAAAAAAAACAGTAGGTCCCGACAGGGACCCCAAAAAGGTGCCGGTAGGCATGTTTCAGGGATGAGTTGGTTTTCAATTGCCTGTCTATCATGTGGTCACTGGGGAAAAGTGACAAGCCAGCGTGTCCTCTACTGCAGGAGAAATCGCCATGTCACCACACTCTGTGACACCTAATTTGGCCCTCCGCAGTTCACCAATTTGGACGAAGCTTTTTTGACACCAGAACTCTTAAAAGCCTGGGTTCGAATCTCTGTATATTCCAGCATGTCTGCATGAAGCTGATTTGGGGTCAGTCCCTACATTTCCGCCCCACCCCCTTCTGTGTTTTCTGCCAAACATCTGCATCGCCTGCAGGTCCTCTCCTTGTTCATTGGGCCAGTGAAGAATTTTGGCCCGGGTGGGTTTTGAAGACAATAACGTCCCCCCTGACAAATTCCTTCCTATCTGAGGCGGGGGGGGGAACGCACATGTTTTTAAGCGATGGAATGAGACAGAAAGCAAAGGGATGAGATTTTTTTCCCCCACCCCGCCTTCTCGAATCCTAGAGTCCAGCGCAAGAGATGGAAAAAAAACACGTGTCTTCTTACTTGTCCGAGAGGCCTCCAAACACCACGGCGCCCGCCAACACGCCCGCCATGTATATCGACTGGGCCATCTGTTGTGAGGTTCGAAAGTCACACACCAGGTCCCACTGTGGGATTGAGAGAGAGAGGGAGAGAGAGAACACAACCACGATCAACCAATTTACAATTGTTGGTTGGAATCAAATGTGTGTCTGTTGTGTCGCAGAGAGAGAGAGAGAGAGAGAACACAACCATGATCAACCAATTTACAATTGTTGGCTGGAATCAAATGTGTGTCTGTTGTGTCGTTCACCGAGGGTGATTTGGGGGGCTGCTCGGGGCACGTTGTGGTTGTGCACTTGGGCACGTCAAAAGCATGCAAGGCAGGGCGCAACAGGACGACTCGTTAATTAGTTACAAGGATGTGCAGCAAATTATGCATATTTTACGCAAATACCGGTAAGTCTCCAGCTGCAGTTTTCGAACCTGCCGTACAAAGATGGTGTTTGAGGACAGTTTCTCCTCCTCATGATCATTGTGTGCCGTCAAGTCAATGTCGACTTAGGGCCACACTTAAAAGAGTTTTCGAGGCAGAGCATAATTCAGAAGTGGTTTCTCCTTCCCTTCTTCTGGGGCTGCCCTCGGATCACTGGGCAGCTGGCCCAAGGTCACCCAGGCTGGTTCTTCTCCCACGAAGCACAGTAGGGAATCGAACTCTTGTTGTTGCTTAGTCATTAAGTTATGTCCAACTCTTCATGACCCCATGGAGCAGAGCCCTCCTGTCTTCCACTGCCTCCTGGAGATGACTAGAAAAGTACAGTGGTGCCTCGCTAGACAGTTACCCCACATGACAGTTTTTTCGCTAGACATTGACTTTTTGCGATCGCTATAACGATTCGCAAAACAGTGATTCCTATGGGGGAATTTTGCTGGGCAATGTTTGGTCCCTGCTTCGCAAACTGATCTTCGCTAGACGACGATTTTGACAGCTCCCTCCGCGCTCGCAAAACAGGTGTTTTCGGGATCTAAGCTTCGCAAGACAGCGATTTCAACAGCTGATCGGCGGTTCGCAAAGCGGCTTTCCTATGACCGATCTTCACTAGACAATGACGATTCTTCCCCAATGGAACGCATTAAACAGGTTTCAATGCATTCCAATGGGGAAATGCTTTTCGCTAGACGATGATTTCGCTAAACAGCGATTTCAGTGGAATGGATTATCATCGTCTAGCGAGGCACCACTGTAATCCTAAAATGAAGGTGGCATACTTAAGGTCACCTGTGGTTTAGGCTTCAAGTGGGAACTCATCTCTTCGTTTAATGCTGCAACCAGACAGCAATGTAAGATTGCCAACTGATCAAACCAGAAAGGCTGAATTTCCTGGGTGCTGTCTTTAAAGCAACCCCTTAAGATGATTCGTCCATTCATGCGTGGTCTGGTCTCAATTGTTCCAGTCTAGCTCCCCAAACAAGAGCAGCTGTAGTGCCGGACCAAAAAGAGTCCAGACTAGGCGTGGGATACAGTTGGTTTGTGATCTTCTGAGCCGGTAGCGGGTCCAAAAAACTGACCTAAATGGCCATCTAATCACACCCCAAGTCTCCACCAACATCCGTGGATTCTCTCCCTCTTGCAAACGGGAGGGAGAACAGAGTTCAACCCGAAGGATGTACATTTGTGATTTTGATGATGAAATCGAAGGTCTCAGATCTGCAGGTAAGAGTTTTGTCCCCTTCGATACCAGGTACCAATATTTTTTTCCCCCTTTGCTTCTGAGAACTCAATGAATATATTAATAATCTGCTTTTATTTGTGCTTCCAATCTTATTTTTAAAAATGAATTGTACTTTTCATTGATTAGGAAACGCCGAGGCCCGCTTTCGGAAATGGTCAGGTTAGACATGAATCTTTGGATTGGTGTGGATTTTACTGGGTTATGAGTTGCAAAGAACAATTATCTGATAAGGAGGAAGGCTTTAAGTGGCTTCAAGATCTTCCCCGAAAAGGATAGTGGCTCTTAAATAGGAAGGATGCTGCCTGGTGGACAGAACCTCTACAAGGCAACTACGAAAGCAGTGGCTGTATTCTCTCGGCACATTTAAGCAATCCTATTATAGCACTAAATTTAAAAGCCATTATTTGACTTATGCGATACATAATATTGTTGCTTTAAAGCAGGGATGGGGAAGCTCCGAGGCTCAGGGACGGTGAATTCTTGTGTGATTTTTGTTTGTTTCACAAAGTTGTCAACAAGAATTGAATGAGCAAAGCAGGCATCTTGTCCGGCTTGAAAGCCATTCCATTCCCGCGACTCGAATCCCCAGCCCCGCTCCCCGCTAGAGGTTGCCCAGACAGGAAAGGGGGTGCTCACGATCGGTGTAACTCTCCTACCTCGGTGACAACAGTGGACGCAAAAGTGTGGTTCTCGTAGACCCAGCCGTCGAGGCACGCTTCCGTCTCTGCCTCCGCGTCTTCCAGACCTGTGGAATTGTCCTCCAGCAGTTGCCACTGCGGGGTCACAAAACGTTGACATTTCTGTGCCGTCCGCTGGCCGTGGGCTGGGATGAAGGCCTTCAGGAGAGCAGGGCAGTCTGCGCCGTCCGTGGCATTCCGGCCACACGTGTCGTTCAGGGCCACCCGGCAGCGGTGGCCGGGGACGGCCGCCGTGAAGTTCTGTAACAAGTTGTGGGCTGCCATGAAGACCATCGGGAAGCATAACAAGAGCACATTGAGAATCTGGAAGCGCCCCATGCCACCCACTTGCTCCAGAAGCTGAGCAAAAGTCATGATGGAGGATGTGAATTGGGCCCTGCGGGCTGGGAGGTCTCTCGCCCAAGAGGGCTGGTGGCCGGGCTGACGATGGCCAAGCGTTGGAGATCTTGAGAAAGAGACCCACCTGGTTGAAGCGGTCAAAATGATGATGCCATTTCAGCTGACCGTCGTGAGGCTTCGGTCGGTCCGAGGGGTCTGAGAAACGGAACGTTTAAGGAAGAGATTATTTCACATTTCTCCTGCTGGTGGGCAAACAGACGGATCCACGCTCGCGCTGTGTACTTTGAGCCACCTCCAAGATCACCAAAGGTCTCTCACCAAACTCCAAAGAAATCAGTAGGATGAGAGCTGTCCGTCTATGGCCCTGCAAAACTGCAGGAACCGAAAGGGGCAGGAAAACTCCAAAGCAAAAAATCCGTGTGCCAGCAAGGTGCCTGTTTTCGCTGCTGGTTAAGCCCTGGCTGGGTTTATTAGACAGCTTAGCCAGTTTAATTAGACCCACGTCTCTTAGGTCGGGGAGGGGGGGTATTAAGGTGGGGGAGAGGCACGCCGGGAATTTATTTCCAAGGAATTTGGGCGAGAGGGCGGCAAGAGGCAGAACACAACGGAATCGGAGCTGGAAAATAAATTTTTCTCCTCTCTGGATCATTTGCATGTCTCAACATAAAATAAAAATAAGAATAAGGATGTCGGGACTGTCGTGAAAGGGACAATGTTGTGTCAAGTTCAAAGCAACCGCTCTTTGGGGTATCCAGAAAGAAATGTCATCCTGCGCCCACCAGCTGGCCACTCCGAGACCCTGGAAATTTCCTTTAAAACCATGCTTCTTGCAACTAGCATTTTAGAGGGGCTTCCTCGTTGTCAGTAGTTACAGTGTTTGAAAAAGTAACTCGTTCCCTCGCTTGTTGGAGGGCTCATTATTTGATTATCATCTATAGCTTTCTAAAAAGTCTTAGGTAAAGGTAAAGGTTCCCCTTGACATTTCGTCCAGTCGTGTCCGACTCTAGGGCGCGGTGCTCATCCCCGTCTCCAGGCCGTAGAGCCAGCGTTTGTCCAAAGACCGTTTCCGTGGTCACGTGGCCAGCGCGACTAGACACAGAATGCTGTTACCTTCCCACCGAGGGGTTACCTATTTATCTACTCGCATTTTTACATGCTTTCGAACTGCTAGGTCGGCAAGGAGCTGGGAAAAGTGACGGAAGCTCCCTCCGTGGCATGGATTCGATCTCACGACAGCTGGTCTTCTGACCCTGCAGCACAGAGGCTTCTGCGGTTTAACCCACAGCGCCACCACATCCCACCTTAAAAAGTCTTACAACGTCCTTAAAAGTAGCTTGTGGACCTAATTTGTTGCTCTTTGTTATGCCGTTTTTTTAAAATGCAGCTTTCTTTGTTCTGTCCTCGTTCCCGAAAGGTAACTAGTAGTCGTTGTTACATGCTGTCAAGTTGCCCCTACTCACGACGACACTAGGAATGACCGATGTCCTCATATCCTGTCCTCAGCAGGCGTTGCAAACTTAAGTCTGTGGCTTCCTTCAGGGGGTTCGTCTGTCTCGTTTTTAGTCTTCCTCTTTTCCTTCTGCCTTCCACCTTTCCCAGCATTATTGTCTTTTCCAGAGAATCCCACCTTCTCAGGATGTGCCCAAATTAGAACAGCCATAATTTCGGCATTTTTTTGCCTCCAGAGAGAGTCCAGGTTGATTTGCTTTAGGATCTACTTCTTTGTCTTTCTGGCAGTCCAGGGTATCCAGAAAGCTCTCCTCCAGCACCCTATTTCAAATTACTCTTTTCTTTTTCTGTCCGTTTCCTTCACTATTCAGCTTTCACACCCAGGAATCTCAGGAGGACGACCTTGGCCTTCGTCTCCAGCGACACACATCCTTCCACTTGATAATCATCTTTCCCACTTCCTTCCTTGCTCTCGCCCTGCGTCTCAACCTTCTGATTTCTTGGCCGCAATCTCCACTTAGATTGACGGTTGAACCAAGGTGTAGAAGATCGTGAACAATTATTTTTTAACAAACCCTGAATTTCTAGCTGGGAACCACCCAGGGGCAGAAGGGGGGTGCTTTATTTCTCTTCTCCTCCTCTTCGTCTTTCTCTCCTCTCTTCCTTTTGTCGCCTTATTCAAACCCAATTTCCTCCCCAGGCTGCCTTTTATGGAACAAAGTTAAAAAACGGATGGAGAGGATGTACGAAAAACCAGCAGGGCTGTTTGGGAAACCAGGCAGAGCTGTCTTGGAAGTAAGTAGAGGGTGGTGGTGGAAAGGGCCAGATTCTTATGGATCCACATGTTCGTGACATAGGATCATCCCCAGATCGCTCTCCATCATCGGCACCATCTCTGCCCAGAGATTGGACAGTGGTTGGGGATCAGATCCCATGTTAGGTTCATGTGGATCCATGCTTGGACCAAAACATTTGCACCTCAAAGCCACACACACGTCATTTCTGTGGTTTATTCTGTGGGTACAAACGGGACTTACGATTTGACAGTGTTTGGGGGCAAAGCAAGTCTCGAAAGATCTACTCCTTGCCTCTTTACAAACATCCGCAGTCCGTCCTCGGTTGGTGGTCCTTTGGAGCCGAAAATAACCTGAATATTTTAAGGAACCATGCACTGCCTCCCCCCCCCCTTCTCTTTCTCTGTCTGCCTCTTTTCCTGCTTTTCCCTGCCTCCCAAGGAATAGCTGGACCATCCTTGAAGGGATACAGGCAGCCAAGCTTTCTAAAGGGGCTTTGCCAGCAGACCCTCCCTCTCCCTCACCTCAGCTCAGTGGCAAAGGGCCAGTGTCCAACCGGAGGGTAAGGTGGGACAAAGCCTCAAATACAAGGATTTTAAAAGCCAGTGTAACCCCCCGCCCTCAACGGAGAGACAACACAGCTTCAACACAGATTAAACGTTTCCCTAAGAGGGCGCAGAAACTCTCCCAAATACCATGTGACGACTGCATGACTTCCATGCAATTTCGAAACCACCGATGCGGTTACCGATTCCTTTTCATAGGGTATCTCTGCCCCTCTCCCTGTAGACTTTCCTTGGTCAGGTGAAAAATCTTCCTTTTTAGGCAGGCTTCTAAGCAATAAGTGGGGTTCTCAAGAATGTTGTATATATTTGAAGGTAGAGATTTTTTTTTTAAAAAAATGTTTTTAAAATTTTCAAATGGTGGTTTTTAAAACTGGTAGAGGTTTAGTTGCTATTAGGAGTTTTATATTGTGTTTTTTTAAAATTGTGATTGTTGCATAGTTTTAATCGTTTGTGGGTTGCCTTTGAGTCATTTGTAGGGAGCAAGTTGACACATAATGTAGGTTTTTCAGGTAGCGAAAATATTACTATTTTAAGGCAAGGATTATCATCACCATCCTCTTAGAACTCGAGAGCTAGAAGGGACATTATGGATCATTGAGTCCAGATCCTGTCAAGGAGGCAGAGTGGGGAATCGAACTCCCAACCTCTGGTTCTGCAGCCGGATACCAAAACCAGTGAGCTATCCAGCAGTCATCATAGTTCAGAGGGAGATGACAGGGTTTTACAGTGGTGCCCCGCATAGCGACGATAATCCGTTCCGGATAAATCATCACTATCCGGAAACGTCACTATGCGGGGGGGGGGAACCCATAGGAACGCATTAAACTCTGTTTAATGCGTTCCTATGGGGGATAAACTCACCGCTAAGTAGGAATCCTCCATAGGGCTGCCATTTTTGCCGCCTAGGTAAATGAGGGCAGGGCACGAAAATGGAGCGGGCGGCCATTTTTTTCTTCCGGTGGCCATTTTGGAACCGCCGATCAGCTGTTTTTAGAACATCGCAATGCGAAACACTTACCGATCATCGCAATGCGATGTTTAGCCATTCTAAACATCGCAATGCGATCGCTTTTGCGATTGCAAAAGCAACATCGCTATGCGGATTCGCCGTTAAACGGTGCGCTAGCTATGCGAGGCACCACTGTATATGCAAATGGATGGAATCTCTCAATAGGCCACCTGTGTTGGAGTTTTTGCAACCTCGGATGCTGCCTCTAGTAGGTGTGGCTTAGAGGGACCTTCCTAGGTTGGGGGTGACTGTCAGTTTGTCCAGCACCACATCCATCTATAGACACCTGTTGCTGAGAAGTCGTTGTGTTTCTTCTTAGTTTGCAGTTTGAGCCGTTCAATCGCAAGTAATGAAAACACTTTTATTCTTTCTCTTACTAATTCTTAGCGTGAGTAATGGAGACTGTCGGTGCCAGTTCATGTGAAAAATAGGTGGACGACTCCGGGGAATTTGATTCAGGTTTGTGAATCCCTACACATTTGCAGCGCAGCAAGAGGAACTTAACAAACATTCAAAACTTTACGATGCCCTTCTCAGTGGCTGCTGATATCCTGCAATATTGGCTCAGGCAATATTGATCCTAAAGGGTCAAGGATCTGACTTAACTTAAGCCAGCTTTGGGGTTTGCTGTTAGATCAAATCGTCATCCAGAAAACAGGAGAACAGGAATGTTATTTGCTATAAGGATCGGAGCTCAGAAGCAGCATAAGCTGGTTTCGATCAAGTGGCCGTCTCCCCTTTTTAAAAAACCTTACACATGTTTTCCAGCATGTTTAGTGTTTTAAATGGACCTGGAGTATGCAACAAACAGTCTGAAGCTGCCTTAAAGACAAACATATTAATGCAACCGTCCACACAGTGTTGTCTATTGAAGCAGAAAGCGGCACAGAAACGTGAAGGCTAATAAATTTAATATTGCTGGACGTCAGCCAAAGTTGCCAAGGTACATCACAGGTACAGCGAGAAGTGTAATCAGTACGTGAAATAAACACATAAGGTACATCCTGACAGGTAAAGGTGTTCAGAACTCAGGTATATTAAAAACACAGTTGCCATTCTCCACCGCAGCGGTTGGCAACCTTGTGAACTTTGTCCTGCAAACTTATCTCCTGTACGTCAAGGAAAGAAAAACCTTGATTCAGATTAAGTCCAAACCAACCGAATCAAACCTACTGAGAAAAAACCTCAAATTGAGGAATTTCTGTAAACTCCTTTATCGCAGGATTGATATATTTCTCTCCCCCCCCCCAAAAAAAGAGCAATAGAGGACGGCCGGGAAATAGAAGGGATCTGGTCCAAAACGACAGCCGATCCAATCATTCGAAGGGAAAGCGTTTTACAAAATGGCTCCTTCCAGAACTTTATTTCTGCTGATCATTTTCTCGATTCCTCCCCCCCAAAGTTTTATCTGGGCTTCTTTCCATTGAACCCAGATGTATTAAGACCCGCTTAAGATATTTTGCTGCCCGGCGCGAAGAACAACATGGCGCCCTTAACAACGTCCTTCCACACAGATGACGGAACAGCAACGAAATTATTCCCGAATTTGTGCCTAGACGCAAAAATTAGCACAGACCTACGACGTGCAAAGCCGTCTCATGTGTTTGTGAACAGTGGACACCCAATATTCAGAAACCATTGGGAGAAATCCGAAACCCAAAGAAGAAGCTTTGATACTCTCATGGAGATGTCCGCGAGCTTCTTGGAGTTCTCCAGGTTTAGCTGCCATCTTTGCACAGATCCAGTTTGGGGGAGTCCAGGAGCACCGTCATTTGCTGCTCGTCTTCTTGGCCCTTCCTTGACCTTAAAAAAAAGCAGGAATGGAGATAATTAATCAACAGAGAGAGACGCCGGCATTGGTAAAGTCAACCGTCTGAATCGTTCAATGGCCGGGCAGCTGCGTTGCTCTCCGAAGGGGCTCAGTTCCATCCGAGGGTCCAAGCAGGATTAGGAAAGAAGGCTTCCGGGAACCCCAGAGAGACCCAGCCAGGCATCGTCTGTAGATCAAGGGCCCCATCCTGTGTGCCAGAGGCGTCCGGAAAGTCCACAAACCAAACATGATGTGCCCATTGCCCTTGACTTGTGTTGCCGCCCAACGGGTGGCATTTAAAGACAGATTGTTATAGAATCATGGAGTTGGAAGGGGCCTCTATGACTAACCCTCCTGCTCAGGAGGAAGCCAAATCAAAGCAGATCTGATTCTCTCTTGAATGCCTCCACAGCGCTGTAGCGCTCACCACCTCCCGAGGTCATGCGTTCCACTGTCGTACTGCTCTAACAGTTGAGAAGTTTTTTCCTGATCTTCGGCCTAAATCTGACTTCGTGTCGCTTGAGCCAATTCGTACGTGTCCTGCACTATGGGAGGATGGAGAACAGATCCTGCCCCTCCTCTGTAGGACTACCTTTCAAGGATTTGAAAGGTGCTATCCTGTCTCCTCTCGGTCTTCTTTTCTTAAGGCTAAACCTGCTGAATTATTTCCATCTTTCCTCCTAGGGCTTGGTTTCCAGCCCCCCGACCCTCCTGGTGGCCCTCCTCCGAACTTTGTAAGTTCTATTTCCAATTATCCCAGGTGATGAGCATTACTCGGGGCTAGACCCAATGCCTTCCATGGGACACGGGGCCAACCAGATGCCCTAACGAGATTCCCCCAAGCAGAGCCGGGCCGAAGGGCATCTTTCCCCCTGTGCTCCCCCCACGAATAGTATTGACAGGTTGACGTTCTCAGAACTTAGCACTTAGTGCAAATATTGAGGGTCTAAAGGAAGGACTAAGACCAAGGAAGGACCAAGTGTTGGGAAATAATCATAATATTCTCTAAAGGGCCACCCAAAGGTCATCCGGTCCAACCCCCCCACCATCACAGGAAATCCTCAGCTAAGACACCTCTGACCATCCCACCTCTTTCTGAAACCCTCAAACAGATCCAGGAACTCACTGCCTTTCCACTTGCTCGACCGTCTCTGGCAGGGGGACGTTCCGTGTCTCCGGAAGAAGACAGGCGACGGTGCCGGAGATGATGGGGGAGATTCCGTAGATGATGAGCGGCAAGGGTGGGAAAAACTCCCCTGTCATCTGCACCAGAGGGGCGATCATGCTGCCCACCCGGGCCATGGTGCCCCCGAGGCCCAGCCCGGATTGCCTGGCGTGGAGAAAAGGAAGTAGACATGAAGACGTTTTGATCGTCCTCCGCACACTTCTAGTCCTCAAGGTCTGTTCTCGGCGAATTGGCTCTCTGGTACATTTCCATTCTGACTTTCTTCCAGGGAGCTCAAGGAGAAAGGATTTTGTTTGTTTGTTTGTTTGTTTGTTTGTTTGTTTGTTTGTTTGTTTGTTTGTTTGTTCGTTCGTTCGTTCGTTCGTTCGTTCGTTTGTTTGTTGGCAAAGTTTGTAGAGGAAAGTACAGTAGGACCCCCGCTATCCATGGGTGATCGGTTCCAAGACCCCCGCCCCGCAGATGCTGAAATGCAGATGATAACAAATGCTATTCTAAGAGTGAATGCTATACATCAGTGGACTCCAACCTTGGACCTCCAGATGTTTTAAGACTTCAACTCCCAGAAATCCTGGCCAGCAGAGGTGGTGGTGAAGGCTTCTGGGAGTTGTAGTCCAAGAACATCTGGAGGCCCAAGGTTGGGGACCACTGCTATACATAGTGTGGTCTCTGGCTCCCCCTAGTGGCCCATTCTGTTAACTTTATCTTTAGAAATATACCTGTATTTTAGATTTTTTTTTAAAAAAAATGTTTTCAGTATGTTCAGACCTTGGAGAAGTGACTCAGCAATACTGACCCCCATGGATGCAGGGGTCCTACTCTATGGGGAGAGGCTGGGATAGAGTTAGTGTCCATTATAGGAAAGCGTGTGCATGCATACACAAACACCAGCCTTGGCTAGAGGTTGTCCCTTAGAAGGCAAAACGGGACGTTACAGATCTTGGCGCAGGAAACAAAAATATCTTCACTGCACAGTTATAAAGAAACAGTTTGACACTAATTTAGTGGCCCGAGCTGCAGCCTACAATGTTTTGGGATTTGCGGTTTTGCGGTTTTTGTTCAAAGGACGGGGTTAAGGGCCATATTTTTGCCATGAAATAGTGAGCGGAACTACATTGCAGTATACCCCCTCCAATTAATTCAATTAATTGAAAAAAAAATTCCAACTACATGACAGTATTTGTAAGCATGGGGAAACTTGCATTTTTCTTTGAAGAATGTGTTTTTTTTTGGGACTCTGCATCCCACTTTTAAAAAAAGCCAATATTTTTGGTCATGTGAACGGCCATGTCATTGTATTCGTGACCGATGTATGTGTGTCCCTGTGTTCGCATCTTGGCAATGTGCTTGAGGTGATATGTTGTCTTGTTGAAAAATCTTGTCTGCTGTCCAAATTCTTCTCCTTTGCAAATATTTTTAAAAGAAACGGTTCGACTTTAGCATCACATCGCAAAGGCGCTGGAGTCTTTCTGTCTGCAACACTGATACAGCGCTATGCCACTTATATAAAAAAAGAGGGGGGAATTAACTCCAAACAAGACAGTGATGGATAAGAAAAGAATTCAAGCAGAGTCAGGACAGACCCATGGGAGAATCAATGGGTCAACCCTGGGTCTATTTAAGGCCATTTAAAGAACAGCGTAGCCCCCTTCGCTGAATCAGGTTGATTCAGTTGAGGCTGCCCCATAATGACAGTGAAAGAAGCATGTGACACGAATCGATACATTAATACCTGGACACAATTCTCAGATTATTTGGGCAATGCAGTTTCAGTTTTAATCTGGATCTTCTGATGCGCACCAAATGAGCTCTCAAAATATATTCCACTTTTATGCTCCG